GAGCTGCTGGGCCTGCGGGTACGACTGGAGCTGGAGCTGCTGAGGGTGTTGGCGCTGAGGCTACTGCTGTCGGTCCTGGAGGCAGTCCTGCTGGGGGTGCTGGAGCTGGAGGTACTGCTGGCGCTGGTGCTGCCGCTGGGGGTACTGGTGCTGTCCCTGCTGTGTCTGGAGTCGCCACACGGCCTCGGCCGTACTTCGTTCCGCTCCTTCAGCAGGTTCTTGGTCTCCCGCCTTCTACTGGTCCTCCTCCTCCCTTAGAGTGTCCACAGCCTGTCCCGTCACAGTTACAGTTACAGCCTGCCTCCCCACTGCCCGCTCCTTCTCCCTACACTGGTCCTACTGGAGGTCTTGCTGAGCGTCGTGAGCCTGCGTCTCGCCCTGCGTCGCCTGTCCGTGCCTCTCGCACTAGTGGTCGTGGTTCGCGTCAGCGTCCTCCTCCTGTCCCTGGCACGCACCGGATGTCTCTGCGTCCGTCCACTGCTCCTCTGCGTGCCCCTTTGCCTTCTCCTCCTGAGTCCTCTCTTCCTGCTCTTCCTGACCCGGAGTCGGACTCTCTTCGTGCTGCCAGTCCTACTGTCATGCGTCTCCTTGCTACTGTTGTCACTGACCCTTCCTTTGAGTCCACTGATGCGTCTGCCCTAGTTACTGAGCTCGTCGACTTTGCTGCTCGCTGTCGTCTAGACTACGCTGCTAGTCTTGTTGCTGAGTCTGAGTCTGTCTGTCCTCCGTCCGTCGGGGGTGAGTGTGCCCTTGGCACGGACGTCCTTGAGGACAGGCAGGAGGAGTTCCAGTGTTTGGCTGCTGCTTCACCTCATCTCGTGTCCGTACTGCTTACCCCTGAGGGAGACCCGGATGCACTTGACATCCCGACTCCGCGCTCTTACGCGGAGGCGATAGAGGGTCCCTACTCCTCTCAGTGGCAGGCAGCTATGGACGCAGAGATGGCTTCCTGGAAGTCCACAGGCACCTACGTTGACGAGGTTCCCCCGCTTGGGGCGAACATCGTCAGTGGCATGTGGATTTTCAGGGTGAAGCGGCCGCCGGGTTCTCCGCCTGTCTTCAAGGCGCGTTACGTGGCTCGTGGCTTCAGTCAGCGGCAGGGAGTTGACTACTTTCAGACCTTCTCTCCCACCCCGAAGATGACCACTCTTCGGGTACTGCTGCACATAGCTGCTCACCGCGACTACGAGCTGCACTCTCTTGACTTCAGCACTGCTTTCTTGCAGGGCAGCCTGCACGAGGAGATCTGGCTGCGTCGCCCACCTGGCTTCACTGGGTCTTTTCCTCCTGGCACCCAGTGGAGCCTCCGGCGGCCAGTCTACGGTCTCCGCCAGGCACCGCGTGAGTGGCACGACACACTGAGGACTACACTTGCGGCTCTTGGGTTTGCTCCCTCTACTGCCGACCCGTCGCTGTTTCTGCGCACCGACACTTCTTTGCAGCCGTTCTACATCCTCGTGTACGTCGACGACTTGGTCTTTGCCACAGCTGACACTGCTGGACTCGCCCACGTGAAGTCCGAGCTGCAGAAGAGACACACGTGCACAGACCTGGGTGAACTGCGCAGCTACCTTGGCTTGCAGATCACCCGGGACAGAGCACGCCGCACCATTACCCTGACTCAGTCACACATGGTGCAGCAGGTCCTTCAGCGCTTCGGCTTCACGTACTCCTCGCCTCAGGCCACTCCTCTGCCTACTCGCCACTCGCTCTCAGCTCTGCCTTCGGATGAGTCCGTAGAGTCGAGTGGCCCGTACCCAGAGCTTGTTGGCTGCCTCATGTACCTGATGACCTGCACACGACCTGACCTTGCATACTCTCTTAGCATTCTTGCACGCTATGTTGCTCCTGGGAGACACAGACCGGAGCACATGGCTGCAGCGAAGAGGGTGTTGCGCTACTTGTGCAGTACATCGGGCATGGGGCTTGTGCTTGGAGGGCAGAGTCCAGTGGTCCTCACTGGACACGCAGACGCTTCTTGGGCTGACGACCAGGCTACGCAGCGGTCGTCACAGGGTTACACCTTCAGCCTTGGTTCCGGCTCTGTTTCGTGGCGGGCTACTCGCTCGTCTTCTGTTCTCGGCTCCAGTTGCGAGGCTGAGATCTACGCCGGGGCCATGGCTGCACAGGAGCTTCGCTGGCTCACCTACCTGCTGACTGACCTCGGAGAGCCGCCTCGTTCTCCTCCAGTGCTCTACGTAGACAACAAGGCCATGCTGGCCTTGTGTCGAGAGCAGAGACTGGAGCACAGAACGAAGCACATTGCTCTTCGCTACTTCCTTGCTCGTGAGCTACAGCAGCGTGGTCAGCTGCGACTTGCGTACGTGGCCTCTGAGGCCAACACTGCTGATATCTTCACCAAGGCACTTGCGCCTTGTGATCATCAGCGCTTCTGTACTCAGCTGGGTCTTGTGCCTACCTTGCCTCACTTGCTCACCTCTTGACCTTGTTTGTACTGTTGCGTATATATATACTCCTGCTCTTGCTTGTTTAGCCTTATATATATATGTAATCCTGCATGTGAACTGGCCTTGTGGCCTTGAACTTGTGCTTGGAATGTGTGGTGATTTTGTGATCCACCCTGAGCTTGCTTTGCTTTGCTTGACTGGTCTTGTGACCCCTTGTTCTCCCCCACTTTGCCTATGGGGGTGTGTCAGAGTTATTTGACATAGTTACTGTAGGCTATAGTGGGGTAGCACATATGGGGTACAGTTTCCTAGGGTTTGCCTTTTGTACCCAACTTTCACTTAGTCATTTCATTCCTGTTTTCTTGATTCACAAGAGCTACTCGACAGGCTTGGTCGAGCTGCAGGGGACCGCTGTGATGTTGCTGTCGACCAGGGAGCTCGACAGCTGCAACTGACTGGTCTGGGCGACGGGTGGGCCGTCGACCAGGAGGGGCAGTTCGACCGGGAGGTCTGCGGAGCAGTCCGTCGACCTGACAAGTGAGCAGCGGTCGACGAGGGGAGCTCGGCGACAACCGCTGACAATTCTGGTCGACGGAAGGGGTCCGTCGACCAGGGGGTAGCTCGACAGGAGCTGTGGTCGACCAGGGCACTTGGTGGTCGACCAGAGGCACCTGGTGGTCGACCGAAGCACTTGGTGGTCGACCAGGTCGACCGGGTAACCTGTTCGACGAGTTCTGCGGAGGCACGCGAATGTCGTCGAGGTCGCGATGGCAAAGGCGACTTTGGGCTGGTATCCCGAAGTCGATGTGGCTCGTCAGGCGCAGACAACAGCCGACAGATGCACAGCAATGCAAGTCGGGCCAATCGTCTGCGCGCACCTGCGAGCATGCGCACTGCTGTGTTTTACGGGGCAACGCTGGACAGCCGCTCTGCTGCAACGTTGGCACGCCGTCGACCTGCTCTGTTGGCAGGTCGCCTTTCCGCAGTGCTGGCGCGGCTCCTCTACGCAACGCTGGCAGGCGGTCGACCAAGCTGTGCTGGCGGTCGACCAGGCTAGCTGCAGGGTTGCTAGGTGCCTGATGTAGTCAATTCTGTCATTGCTTGTTGAACCATTCTGTATTCCAACTTGGCTAGTGAAACTCTTGTCAACTTCTCCCGTGAATGTGCAAGTGCTAAAGAACGCAAGCAAAGCTACGATCAGTCTTAGTCGTTCGTGCCAACCCCCGTAGTCTAGCTAACTACCGTTGTAGAGTGACTCTCCGCAGAGACTGGAGCACCGAACGAAGCACATTGCTCTTCGCTACTTTCTTGCTCGAGAGCTGCAGCAGCGTGGTCAGCTTCGCCTTTCTTACGTGGCCTCTCGGGCCAACACTGCTGATGTCTTCACCAAGGCCCTCGGGTCTGGTGATCTTCAGCGTTTTTGCACTGCTCTTGGGCTTCTGCCCGTTCTACCTCACCTGCTTGTCTCTTGATCTTGCACTTGTTGTACACTGATATCTATATTTATACCTGCATGTTTCCTCTTGCTAGGTTGTGATCAGTGTCCTGCCTTGCTATTATACCTCTGCATGTGAACTGGCCTTGTGGCCGCTTGTTTGTGCTTGGATTGTGTGGTGTCCTTGAGATCCACCCTGAGCTTTGCTTTGCTCTGTTGTCTTGCTTGACTGGTCTTGTGACCGTCTTGTTGTGCCCCACTTAGCCTATGGGGGTGTGTCAAAGTACAATCTCACTTGTAGGCTAAAGTGGGGCACTCCTTATGGGGTACAGCACTTCTAGGGTTAGTACTTGTACCCCAACTCTTGCTAATTCAATCATTCCTGCACAGTTATTCTGACACGCAAAATAACGAATAACGAGAATGTGATTCCAAAGTCTGACGATACAATCAAAGTGACGGGATTTTATAGGGCAAATCTTAGCTATGCGGGTAGGTTGGGCGAATGTGGCTCGGAAATGTTGCGATTGGAGCACGAGCGAACAAGATTGGTTCGGTGCGGAAATGTAGGCCGAACGAACTGACTCGTGGCCCTCGGAATTGTACCCGCCAAAGTGGGAGTTGAGTAAGGAATTGAATTTCTTATAGAGTGACCCAATAAGGAATTGGAAAATTCCTTACACTTCTCGTGTTATAGATTTACAAATACTGTATATGAAAGCTCGTCGTCAGTCGCGAACAAAAGTCGCCAGTAGCTCGCCTGCACTCGTTGTCAGGGATGGAGGTACCCGCCAAACCCGGGCCAGTCGCTGTGGGAGGAACCACAATACCGTCCCGTCCACCCGCCCACCGTTCCACGCAACGTCGAAACGCGGTACAGTACAGTAGTGCCACCGTTCCCCCCACGCAGTTCCCCCCGCAAGTGCTTTCCTCGCGTGCGGTCAACTACCGCCGCCGGTATTTACCCCAATACGAACTACCTTCCCACCCACGTACAATTTCTAGGTGGCGTTCCTGTTGAGATAACCCAAGAATCGTAAGATTAGGATAACGCTCTTAGTTAGCGGCGAACTCTTGAATGTTATTAGAATGCTAGCGGCGAAGCGGGGGAGAGTGGACGGAACGGCGCAAGGAAGGGTGGTTGGGATAGAGAGAAAATGAGTGCGTTTAGGGTTTCGAGCTCTGCTTGTGCTTCCGCTAACATCCTGACTGCTCCGCGTTGTCCTTGTTTAGCAGCCAAATCTCCCTCCTTTTCCACCCGCCTTCCCCTCTGCCACCCTCTCGTCCTCTCCTTCCTCCTCCTCCTCCTCTTCCCCCTCTCCCCCGCGCTCGCGCAAGTCCTCCCCTCAACCTACCGCGTGCTCTCCTTCGTCGACACCTTCTGCGCCTCCCCGCTCGTTCCGCCCGACCGCCGCGAGGATGACCCCGTTATGGGGCCGCTTCCGGGGGACACGGGCGCGGGGGGAACCGGTGCGGGTGGAACTGGTGCGGGAGGAACTGGTGCGGGGACTGGCGCGGGAGGTGCGGAGAACGCTGGGGCAGGGGAAGTTGGACCGAACTGCACCGTGTCGGTTTCCACAGGGCTGTTACCGTCGCGTGCTGATGCTGATGCGAACAACAGCGACAGTTACAACAGCTCGCAGTGGCGACTGACATACGTTCTCGCAGTGGGTGTTGTCCCTACCGATTTCGACTGGCCCGACCAGACTGTACAGTCCATACGCGTTAACGGCCGCGAGATGCTCATAGCAGGGCCGTGCAGGCCCGTGGGTCGGTGCGGAGGGACCCGCCCGTTCGCGTGTTACATGGGCGACGTGTCGTGGGCTCTGCCTGCGACCACTCGCAACCCAGCAACCAGTAACAGCAGCACTGCTGGTAACCCTATCGTTAACGCAACCCTGACCGTTACAGTAACAGCGTCCGCGGAGGTAGCACAGCCGTGTCGCCTCTGCGGGGGCTTCCAGCAGTTACCCTGTCAGGTGTTACAGGCAGCGGTTCGCCTCACGGCCGTGCTCGTCCCAGTGGCGCTGATGCAGCCGCAGCCAGGTCAGCCGCTACAGGAACAGCCTCCCTCTGGCGCCGCCACAGCTGTTGGTTCGACTACAGCCACAGGTTCGGGTGCAGCCGTAGGTTCGGGTGCAGGGGCAGGAGTGGGAGAGGCGACTGCAGCAGCTGCAATACCAAGAGCCAGCGGCAGCAGCAGCAGCAGCGATGCTGGTGGTAGCGATCGGGGCGGAGGTGGCACGGCGCTTGTGGCACTGCAAGCGCGTTTGTCCGCGTCATCCGCGTCGTCTGTAGCCTCTGTAGCGCCTCCAGCATCTGTAGCGTCCGCGCCCGCAGTGGCGGTGTCATTTGTGCGAGGGCCAGGGGGGGTGTCGAAGGTGGGGCGCGCGCGGTTCTCGTGGCAGGTGCTGGAGACGAGAGGCGCGCTCTCGCCCGCACGCTGTGACGCCTGCACCTTCCTCTGCCAGGTGCGTCCTCCCCTGCCCTCACCCCACCTCTTCCCCATTCCCTCTTCCTTCATGTCCCCATCCTCTCTTCCCTCACTAACCCATGCCTCCCCGCCTCCTCCTGTTCCCACCTTTCCTCATTCGCATCATCGTTGCGCAACCCAACGTCCTCTGCACCTCTGCACGCGTCCATTCCCACACGTCCGTCATCACATGCTTCTTTCTTTCCCTCTCTCACCTCCCTCTCTCGTACCCATTCTCCTGTCTCCCTCTCCCTCCTCCTCTCCCACCTCACCCACCCACCTCACTTCCACCACCCTCCTCATCTTCTCTCAACCCGCCATTTCCTTTCCTCCCCGAACCCCCCACACTTCCCCTCCCCGTTCCCGTGCCCCCGAGGGTGGTTTACAGCACGTGGGCTCACGGACGGCCGGCACCTCTTCATAATCACGGCGCTAAAGGGCGCTTCAGGGGTCACTGGCACCCGCGTGCACATGTCGAAAGCACTCAACCCCTTTATCTCCCCGGCTCCATCCCCCTGGGCCCACAGCTGGACTCGTTTCCCACCTTCCCCTGCCCTCGCAGGTGGTGCACAGCGCGTGGCCTCACAGACGGGCGGCACCTCTTCACAGTCACGGCGCTCAACCGAGGGCGCTTCAGAGGTCACTGGCAGCCGCCTGCAGGCGTGAATCCACTCAAACGTCATCCCCTCCCCTCCCTCTTCCGCCCCTCTCCTCCCCGTCCGCCCCTCGCCCCTCCTCCGCCCTTCCCGTGCGCCCCTCCCCGTCCCCCCGCAGCTAGACGCGCTTCCCAGCTTCCCGTGCCCCCGAGGGTGGTTCACAGCGCGCGGGCTGACGGACGGGCGGCACCGCTTCACAGTGACGGCGCTCAAGGGCGCCCCCGGGGTCACTGGTAGCCGCCTGCAGGCCGCTGCTGCTGCTGTTGGCATGGACGGAGCAGCGGGGGGAGGCGGGGTGGGGGGAGGGAGAGGAGGGGGAGGAGCACAGGTGGAGGCTCAGGCGCAGGCGACATATGAATGGGCCGTTGGTAAGTCTCGCCTTTGTCTTTCCTCTTTCTGAGTGCAACAGCGTTTGCAGAATTCTCGCCTGGGGCAGCTGTGCATGGGTGGGTGGGTGGGTGCATGGGTGGGTGGGTGGGTGCATGGGTGGGTGGGTGGGTGCATGGGTGGGTTGGTGGGTGCATGGGTGGGTTGGTGGTGGGTGGTGGGTGGGTGTGTGCATGGGTGCATGGGTGGGTTGGTGGGTGGATGGGTGTGGGTGGGTGCATGGATGGGTGGGTGGGTGGGCGTGGGTGGGAGGGGTGAGGGGCTGACTGGCTGCGTGGATACCAGACGCCCACACTACCGCTGAGCTGACTGTAACTGCAAAAACTGAGGCGTAGCTCCGTTTAAGATCCGACTCTTGGATATCACACTCTGACACGCCCGCCCTTCTCCACCCTTCTCCACTCCTCTCGACCGTCCTCTCCTCCCGTGTGCGCCATCAGACGCAGCCAGTCCAGTGCCAACGCTGACAGTGGACCCGCCAGCAGCAAGGGAGGGCGCGGTGCAGATCAGCGTCGCCTTTGACAAGCCCTGCCCGGGCCTGCAGTGCAATGCCACTGCCTGCGACGTACGTGACTGCGCTTCTATGTGTACCTCGCTCTTATGAAAAATAAATGGAGGACTTTGTGTACCCTCCCTCAGTGTGTACCCCCTTGGCCACATTACGCTCCCTCCATCCCAACCTTATCCCATCGCTCCCAACCTCGAGTTCTCCCGGCATTCCCTCCTCCCCTCTCGCCTCTCCTCCCCTCCCCTCCGTCCGCGCTTCCCCCGTCTCCTTTCCTCGCTCACACCCGTCAGGTCGACGCGTCACCACAGGGCATAGTGACCATCCACCCCTCCTCCTTCGCTGCTTCCCTGTCTTTTCTCCCCTCCCTTCATCCCCCATCTTTGCCCACCCTCCCCTTCCCCTGTCATCGCTCGTACACGTCAGATCGAGGCATCACCGCAGGGCGTGGTGAGCATGGACCCCGCGTCGTTCCTGGCATCAGATGACGGGAGCCGATACTCCGTCACTGCCACTCTGCCATCCGCCACCAGTGGCACCAGCAGCAGCAGCACCACCAGCAACAGTAGCGGAGGCAGTAACTCTACCAACAGCAGCAATTCTACCAGCAACGGCGACAGCAGCAGCAGCGGTAGCAGTGGTAGTGGCGCCGCTGTGACTGTGGCTTTAAGACCGGGCAGCTGTGCTGACTCTAGTGGGAGGGCATGGACGGCAGGGTTTGACTCGTATGCTGTTATCAGGATAGGTAAGCTCATGAGGTTCGCGTCGTGGTGGGGAGAGATTTGACCACATGGCTTGGTGCCCCATTCCCCAACGTTCATGTTTGTCCTTCTTGAAAGTGTAATTGCTCTCTTGCCTCTCACCGTGCCTCTCGCCGTGCCTCTCGCCGTGCCTCTCGCCGTGCCTCTCACCCGACCACTGGAAGTTCAACCCACCTAGCCCTGACTACCGCCCTACCTCTCCCACTCCCCACTTATTCCCCTCCGACGGCCACACCATGTCCCTCTCGAGGCCACTCTCCCCTGCCACACGCCCTTTGGGGTGCTCAAGCTTCACACACAGCCCACAGCCACTCCGCGCTCACCCAATCGCCCGTGACCTGCCGGGTGCTTCTGAGGGAGTAATTTAAGGATTTTGTTGATTCTGACTTCCACTCTGTCTCCTCCCCCACCTCCTCCCCCCTCCCCTCTTCTCCTCTTACCTTCCCCGGCCAGACCGCGCCCCTCTGGAGGCCACGCTCTCGTGCGACACGCCCTTGGCAGTGGTGAAGTTCTTCACGCAGCTCAGAGCCACTCCGCGGGTCAGCCAGTCGCCCGTGACGTGCCGGGTGCTCTTCTCCAAGCCCGTCTCCTCCTTCTCCTCCACATCCCTCGCTCTCGTCAACGCCACCACCAGCGACCCTCAGCCTGTCACTGACCTCGAGTACCAATTCCAGGTGGGTTTCCTCGTTTCTTTCTCTTCTTCTTCTTCCCTTCTTTTTGTTTCTGGAACCGTTTTATGGGTTTTACTGTGAGTCGGTCAATGTCAGAGTCAGGCTTTAGAAGTCAGCCACAGGCAGTCGCCCGTGACGTGCCAGGTGCTCTTCTCTCCCCCAAGCGAGTCTCTGCCTTTTCATCCGCATCCATCCCTCGCTGTGGTCAGCGGCACCATCAGCGACCCCCAAGCTGTGACTGACATGGAATACCAGTTCTAGGTGAGGGTTGTGAAGGGTTGAGCACAGAACAGTTTTTGGTGAGTTGTGGTACTGGTGGTGGGTGGTGCTCCATACCATACGGACACATGTTGCTCCATACCATACGGACACATGTTGCTCCATACCATACGGACACATGTTGCTCCATACCATACGGACACATGTTGCTCCATACCATACGGACACATGTTGCTCCATACCATACGGACACATGTTGCTCCATACCATACGGACACATGTTGCTCCATACCATACGGACACATGTTGCTCCATACCATACGGACACATGTTGCTCCATACCATACGGACACATGTTGCTCCATACCATACGGACACATGTTGCTCCATACCATACGGACACATGTTGCTCCATACCATACGGACACATGTTGCTCCATACCATACGGACACATGTTGCTCCATACCATACGGACACATGTTGCTCCATACCATACGGACACATGTTGCTCCATACCATACGGACACATGTTGCTCCATACCATACGGACACATGTTGCTCCATACCATACGGACACATGTTGCTCCATACCATACGGACACATGTTGCTCCATACCATACGGACACATGTTGCTCCATACCATACGGACACATGTTGCTCCATACCATACGGACACATGTTGCTCCATACCATACGGACACATGTTGCTCCATACCATACGGACACATGTTGCTCCATACCATACGGACACATGTTGCTCCATACCATACGGACACATGTTGCTCCATACCATACGGACACATGTTGCTCCATACCATACGGACACATGTTGCTCCATACCATACGGACACATGTTGCTCCATACCATACGGACACATTTTGCTCCATACCATACGGACACATGTTGCTCCATACCATACGGACACATGTTGCTCCATACCATACGGACACATGTTGCTCCATACCATACGGACACATGTTGCTCCATACCATACGGACACATGTTGCTCCATACCATACGGACACATGTTGCTCCATACCATACGGACACATGTTGCTCCATACCATACGGACACATGTTGCTCCATACCATACGGACACATTTTGCTCCATACCATACGGACACATGTTGCTCCATACCATACGGACACATGTTGCTCCATACCATACGGACACATGTTGCTCCATACCATACGGACACATGTTGCTCCATACCATACGGACACATGTTGCTCCATACCATACGGACACATGTTGCTCCATACCATACGGACACATGTTGCTCCATACCATACGGACACATGTTGCTCCATACCATACGGACACATGTTGCTCCATACCATACGGACACATGTTGCTCCATACCATACGGACACATGTTGCTCCATACCATACGGACACATGTTGCTCCATACCATACGGACACATGTTGCTCCATACCATACGGACACATTTTGCTCCATACCATACGGACACATGTTGCTCCATACCATACGGACACATGTTGCTCCATACCATACGGACACATGTTGCTCCATACCATACGGACACATGTTGCTCCATACCATACGGACACATGTTGCTCCATACCATACGGACACATGTTGCTCCATACCATACGGACACATGTTGCTCCATACCATACGGACACATGTTGCTCCATACCATACGGACACATGTTGCTCCATACCATACGGACACATGTTGCTCCATACCATACGGACACATGTTGCTCCATACCATACGGACACATGTTGCTCCATGCTCCGCCGCAGTATGCATCCCATCCCACTCCGAGTTACCCTTAAGCATTTAACCATCAAGCCCTGTTTCTTGAGAGCGATGTGATGCCACATGGCAGGTGTGGTGTGGAACCACGCGCAGGGGCTCAGTGGTGGCGGATATACGGCATGAGGACTTCACTGCGTCACTGCTTGCATGCTCCCGTGCTCCCCCCAGCCACCAATCCTTGCCCTTGCTCCTTGCGTGATGCTGTATGACAGGTGTGGCCCACGGGCGAGGGGTCAGTGGTGGTGGACATAAGGCATGACAACGTCACTGATGCTGCAGGCAACACGTGCCAGCCCACACAACCCTTCTTCTTCTTCTTTGGTCAGCTCACTCCTGCCTGCCCTCTCCACCCTCCCCACCCGCCCCACTCTGTGTTATGCTCTCCATGTCACGCTTTTCGTTTTTCCACCTGCCAGCCCACGCAGCCCCTCTTCTCCTTCTTTGGTGTGCCTACCCATCCTGCTCTCTGCTCTCTCCCCACTCTGCAGTCTCCTCTGCATTCCATTGGTCGCACCTTTTTATTTTGCATTTTTTCGAAATCTCATGACCGCCCCGCCCAGCACAACCCTTGATGTTCTACTGGGGTGTGCGCGCCCCTTTTCATATTCTTCTGCATTCACCATCCTGGCACTTCGCCTCCCTCCCTCCCTCCCTCCCTCCCTCCCTCCCTCCCTCCCTCCCTCCCTCCCTCCCTCCCTCCCTCCCTCCCTCCCTCCCTCCCTCCCCCCCTGCCTCCCGCCCACTTTCCCTCCCTCTTTCCCTCCCTTCCTTCCTCAATCCTTCCAACTGGCCTGCTCTCTTCTCCTTCCCGCCCTTCCTGCCTCCTCCGCTTCTCCTCCAACACTCGACACCACTGCTCCAACAGTGCAACTGAGCGTGAGTGAGAGCAGCGCCACCACGGACCCGGTCTACCCCATGCTCCTCGCCTTCCCGCCTTCGCTCCTTTCCCCGTGCTGCTCTGGCCTCAACCGTCCCCCTCCTCCGTCACCCCCACCCCACTAACCCCCCAAACCCGTTCTCACACAGACACCACGGCGCCGACAGTGCAGCTGAGCGTGAGTGAGACCATCGCCACCACGGACTGGGTGTACCCCATCCTCGTCGCCTTCTCAGAGCCCGTGCTGGGCTTTAACACCTCCTCCATCCACCTCTCCAATGGAGTCATCACCTGGTGAGTGAGTGAGAGAGATGTTTGTGGTATTGCATGGCAGGGGGTATTGCATGGCGGGGGGTATTGCATGGCAGGTGGTATTGCATGGCGGGGGGTATTGCATGGCAGGGGGTATTGCATGGCAGGGGGTATTGCATGGCAGGGGGTATTGCATGGCAGGGGGTATTGCATGGCGGGGGGTATTGCATGGCAGGGGGTATTGCATGGCTGGGGGTATTGCATGGCTGGGGGTATTGCATGGCTGGGGGTATTGCATGGCTGGGGGTATTGCATGGCTGGGGGTATTGCATGGCTGGGGCTATTGCATGGCTGGGGGTATGGGCTGCTATTGCATGGATGAGGGGTGTACCACATCCTCGTGTGGCCTTCTCAGAGCCTGTGGCCGGGTTCAACACTTCATTCGACATGTTCTTGTGTTGTTCTCCTCTGCCTTCATCCGTTCCATCTCCCTGCACCATGCCCCCATTATGTTCTGCCATCTCCCATTCCTGTTCCAGCTGGACAGGGGTTGACAGGGGTTTGGGGCGGTACTACGAGGTGACGGTGGCGGCAGTGAGCGATGGCGATGTGACAGTAGCGGTGCCGGCAGCAACGGTCGTGGACATGGCAGGCAACCCCAACTCGCCCTCCAACACCCTCTCCCTCGCTCACTGTGGGTTAACACACACTCTCTCGAATGGTCCTTGCATTAATAAAGTGGTGGTACACGGGAAGGTGCAAACACACTCTCTCTCTCTCTCTCTCTCTCTCTCTCTCTCTCTCTCTCTCTCTCTCTCTCTCTCTCTCTCTCTCTCTCTCTCTCTCTCTCTCTCTCTCTCTCTCTCTCTCACCCACACTGGGTTGACACTCTCGTATTAAGTCGAACCAAAAGTCAACAGTGGTGGATATTGCATTCAACCTCAACTCGCCCGCCAACGCACTCTCCCTCAGTCACTGTGGGTTATCACTCTCTCCCTCACTCACTGTGAGGTAACACTCTCCCTCACACGCACTGAAGGATAGCACACTGCTGCTCTCTCCCCTCCTTTGTGGGACGCCTCTCCCTTCTCTTTCCCCTGCCCCCTCTCTCTCTCCCATACAGATGCGCCAGGTGATGCGCTGTCAAGGAGTCCGACCCTACCTCCTCCTCGTGCTCCCTCCGTTTCCAACTTGCTCCGCTTTTCCCCTTTCCTCCCTTTTTTTCCCCTCTGTTTCCTTTTTTTCCTCCTTTCACCCTTTCCCCCTCTCGATTTCTATCCATACAGACGCGCCGGGCGATGCGGGAGCGATAACGGCGTGGGTGGTGACGGCGGTGGTGGGGTGGACGGCGCTGTCAACAGCAGCGGTGTCCCTCGCGGTGACCATAAAGGAGTCCGACCCCACCTCCTCGCCCGGCATCCGCATCGTCTCCAACCGCCCCTTCCGTGCCGTCAGCACACCTGTCGTGGGCGCGGATCCCTCTCGAAACGTTCTCGTGAGTTTGTGTGTGCGACAGGACAGCCTGTCAGCCTGTGCTAGTGCAATGCTCACGCCCCCATTCTCCATGCATGCCGCCAACTCTCCCTTCTCATTCCCCTCCCTGTCTCGCTCCCCATTCCCCACCTCAAAAACCCCCCACCGCATGGCCATGCATCTGAAAGTCTTTGCCCTCACACATAATCTGGGGGCTCACTCATTCTCCCCTTCTCACTCCCCTCCTCCCTGTTTTCCCTCTCAGCGCATGGCCCTGCACCTGCAGGTGTTCGCCTTGACGCAGCACCTGGCAGTGCGCGTGCTGCCGCTGTTCTACCGCCAGCTCACAGGCGGGCTGCGCTGGACCTACTTCTACATCAACGCGCCCTTCAAGAGCTCCTTCGATGGGTGGAAGGGCGTCTACTCCTCTCCCACTGACGCCCCCGGCCAGGACAACAGCACCGCCCCGCCCTCCTGTGCTCCGTGAGTGCTTCATTGGTGGCCAATGTTACAGCACTTTCGTTTGAGGCACATGTTGTTGAGTCATCTTCCTACCACGGGTGGAGGGTCCTCTCGCACTGAAGCCCTGGGCAAGACAACAGCACCGCTCCGCCCTCCTGTACTCCGTAAGTGCTTCGCTCATGCCAACGTTACAACACTCCATTTTTGTGTCACATGATATTTTGAGTCATGCTCGTTTGAAGTCAGGAAGGGTGTCTGTACCTTTCCTGTGCTCCGTGAATGCCTTGGGCAGTTCTTCAATTCAACACCCTCCCCCAGGCTTCCATGGGCTTACCGCGGCAACCCAAGGCTACCCTGGGCTACCCAGGGCAACCCAAGGCTTTCCTGTGCTTCCCTAGGCTTCCTGGGACCACCTTGGGTTTACCTGGGAGGCCCTGGAAACCCCAATACTTCTGTGGTACCAATGGCCTTCACTAGTTGTTATGTACAGAATCGTTCTATGCAGGAGTAGGGCACATGGCTGAGTATTTACTCGTACTCGGACGAGCTTTTCTAAATGCTCGCCCGAGTTCCCTTTTATAAGGCGAGTAACGAGTTTCTGTTTGGGGGAAAAATGCTCGGTCGAGTATTACTCGACTCGGGCTCGTACTCGGCCGAGCAAGGCTAGGGACGAGTCGAGCATTACTCGGCTCGCCCCTTTGCACAGGTCTCAGCTATTATATTTGAGTCGCCTCACAGGCCTCGCCCCCCCCCACTTCTCAACCCCTGCCTCCATCTCTCTCTCCCCATCTCTCCCCTCCCTTCCACCAGGCATAACCTCGCCACCAAAACAGACAGCTCTGCCTCCTCTCCCTCTCTCAACCCCTCTCAACCCCTACGTTCTCCCCTCTGTCCCATTGTTCTCCCCCTCCCCTCCCCCCCCTTCCCTCTTCTCCCCATCTCTCCTTTCCCTTCCACCAGGCAATACCTCACCACCAAGGCGGACTGCTCTGCCTCCCCCTCCTCCTCCAACCCCCCTCAACCACGATCAACCCCTCAGTTCTGCCTTCTGTCCCATTGTTCTCCCTCCCCCATCTCTCCCCTCCCACACACACACCAGGCACTATCTCGCCACCAAGGCAGACACCTCTGCCTCCTCGTCCTCCTCCAACCGCTCTCAACCCATCCGTTCAGCCCTCTCAATCGTTCTTCTCCCCTCCTCGCCCCGCCCACCCCACCAGGCATTACCTCGCCACCAAGGCAGACAGCTCTGCCTCCGCCTCCTCGTCCAACCCCTCTGCCTCGGCACAATCCAAGCTCTCGTTCTGGTCTAAGTTCTTCTCCCCAGCAGCAGCACGCAACACAGCAGCTGACGGCACAGCAACACACTCCTCCCTCAAACCGCGCAATCTCCGACGTGTTCTCGCCTCCTCCTTCCACTTCCTCCTCTCCTCTCTCTCCTCTCCCTCGCCCTCACATTCCCACCGTGTGCCCCTTTTTAACACAATACACTCCCCTCGCTCTCTCCGCAACCGCTTCAACACTGCCGACTCCTTGTCGCCCCCTGCCCATGCCCATGCGCACATGCAAGCACGGCAACTAACCACATCACATGTGCACATGCGGCATGCAATGTCGCATCCGAGTCTGTCGCATCCGAGCCTGGCGCACGGCCGCAGTTTGGGGTCGTCTCGAGCCCTGCCCTTCCACCCCATCCCCTTCTCGCCCCCACCCACCTTCCACTTACGAGGCCTGCCCTTGACCGCCCCTTCTCTCCCCTCCTCCTTCCCCTCCTCCTTCCCCTCCTCCCTTCACTCCGCCTTCCCATATACTCTCCTCCCATCGTCCCTATCGTCCCATCCGGCCACCCACTATCATCGCATGCTTCAAGAAACGACTGCCAGCACCACCAGCAACAGCAGTGCAAGCGGTTACAGTGGCTTTAACGCGACTGCTCTTATAGCCCTGGCAGTGGCAGGGGGTGGGACAGGCGGAGATGCAGCAGCAGCAATAGCAGCAGCGAGGGGGTTGGACCCCACGTTGCTGCCACGGCTGAGCGAGGAGGAGTATGAGTACATGCAGGCGTGGGGCGATGCTTACTACTCGCACTTCCCCAACCTATATTATTCCTACCATGGGTGAGCGGGCCGTTTAGATTTAGATTGCTACATGGCTCATACCATGGGTCATGCCCCTCATGTTGTTTCTGAATGCATTTCCGTTTACTCACGTCCTCGCATCCTCAGGTTTGCCCCCTTCTTGTTGCCGCTCTTCGTTTCTCTCCATCTATCTGACTCAATTAACCGGTTCTGCTCCTTTCTTTCTCTCCGCACCCCTCCCCCTTCCCCTCCCCCCTTCCCTCCCCACCCTCTTCAGCTTTGAGCAGTTCTGCACGCACGGTGCTCTTCTGGTTTTCCCTCTTCTTCTTCGCCCTCTCCCTCCCTCTTCCCCCAACCGCCATCGCTCAACCCAACCCAAACCCTCTCCTCTCTCCCCATCCCTCTCCCCACTCCTCTCCCCACGCCCCCTCTCCCCTCCCCCCCTCACCAGCTTTGAGCAGTTCTGCGCGGTGCTCTTCTGGTTCGCGCTCTTCTTCTTCTCCCTCTCGCTCCTCCAGCTGCTCTTCCAGGGGGCGTGGCAGCACTGGCGCTACCAGTGGCTCTACGGCCTCCTCGACCCGCCGCGCCTCCAATTCCTCCTCCTCGCGCTCTCCCTAGCCGGCATCTCGTGGGGGTGCACGCTGCTGATCAGAGGGAGCATGGAGCCGGGCGGCACGGCGGCAGGGCTGGCAACGGGGGTGATAGTGCTGTGCCTCTGGCCCGTGCTCTTCCTCATTTTCTCCTTCTCGGTCGTCTGGTACATCGTTGTTCAGGTGCGTTGGGGTGAACTCATGTGCGGTTCTGGTGGGTTCGACTGTGGTTCGAGTGTGGTTTCAGTGTGGTTCTGGTGGGTTCAAGCGGTAACTCGCAACTTCTTCAGCAGCAATCTGCACGTCTCTTCGGACAGGGGATGGCGGAGATGGGTCCCACCTTCATCTCCATCCCCGTCCCTCTCCTCCTCTCCCTCCCCTCCCCTTCCCCACTACCCCCCCTCTCTTGCTCAGAAGCAATTCGCGCGCTTCTTCGTGCAAGCGATGACGGAGCCCCACCCACTATTCTCTTCCTTGGCTCACCCGCAATCCCCCATTCAAATGTCCCGTCCTACTGGTGTCAACTCCCTCACGAGCAATTCGCACGTTTCTTCGTGCGGGCGATGACGGAGCCACCCACCAGTCTCTTCCCTGGCTCACCCACAGTCCCCCATTCAAATCTCCCGTCTCACTGCTGTCAACTCTGTCAGGAGCAATTCGCACGCTTCTTTGTGCGTGAGATGACGGAGCCGCGCAACGAGGCGTGCATCGCCTCCTTCGCGCGCGCCTTCTGGGCCGCACTCAGGCAGAAGCGACTCAAGGGCCACTGGGTCACCATCACGCCCTCCCAGAAACACATTCTTCCGAGATTCGGGATATTTTTCGAAGACTTTACAGGTAAGGGTAAGGGGGTGAGAGAACGGTTGAGGGGTCGAGGGAAGCAGTGAGTCTGTGAGACGCACTGGCTGCTGCAGGAGCGGCTCACGGACCACTGGGTCACCGTCACGCCGTTTCAGAATCACATCCTGCCACTATTCGGCTTATTTTTTAAGACTTTTCAGGTGAGGCGTTGAGGGAACAGGTGAGGCTGCATCTTAATGTCTCTCTGCTTTGGATTGGAGTGTTTTTTCTGCATCAAGCACCCTTGTAACCTGGAAGACTGAACGCCTTTTTTCATTCGAAGCACGCTATTACGTTTGTTAGAACCAACCTTGCTTCTGACTCCACTTGCTTTTTATTGTTTGTTTATTTGTTAACTAATCCCCTACGCCTCCCTCTCACCCCTGCCTTGTGCCAATGTGGAGATCTGTGGGTCCCTGGGGGGTGCTTAAGAACTGACCCAGGGCTGCTTCTCATGCCACTTGCCGATTTTGTCCCTTGCTTGTCATGTCATGCCCACTCTGCCTCTCTCCTCCTCGCCTGCTTCACCCTTGCCTCATGCCATACCAGTGGGGGAATCTGTGGGCGCCTGGGGGGTGATCAAAGACCGGCTGAGGGCTGCTTCTGACACCACTTACACCTTCTTTGTCCCTCCTTTGTCATGCCCCCTCTGTCTCTCTCCCCCCTCCTGTCTCACCCTTGCCTCATGCCATACCAGTGTGGGGGTCTGTGGGCGCCTGGGGGGTGCTCAAGGACCGGCTGAGGGCTGCCTATGGCACTCTGGACTTTCTTAAAATGGTACGGCTGCTGTTTTTAGTTAATGTGGCTGTTTGTTCACACTCCCTTACTAACACTCCCTTACACTTCCTTACGCCTCACCCACACAGCCCTGATCCTATGCACACACTCAACTTAAAGAACCCTTCGCTCTTCCCTACGTCTTTTTGTCTGTCTGTCTGTCCGTGTGTGTCCGTGTGTCTGTCTGTCCATGTCTGTCTGTGTGTCTGTGTGTCTGAGTCTGTGTGTCTGTCTCTGTGTCTGTGTGTCTGTCTCTGTGTCTGTGTCTGTGTGTCTGTGTCTGTGTCTGTGTCTCTGTGTCTGTGTGTCTGTGTCTGTGTCTCTGTGTCTTTGTGTCTGTGTCTGTGTCTGTGTGTCTGTGTGTCTGTGTCTGTGTCTGTGTCGCTGTGTCTGCGTGTCTGTGTCTGTGTCTCTGTGTCTGTGTGTCTGTGTCTGTGTCTCTGTGTCTGTGTGTCTGTGTCTGTGTCGCTGTGTCTGTGTGTCTGTGTCTGTGTCTGTGTGTCTGTGTGTCTGTGTCTGTGTCTGTGTCTCTGTGTCGCTGTGTCTGTGTCTGTGTCTGTGTCGCTGTGTCTGTGTGAGTGCAGGTGCTGGTGGGAGCGCTGGTGGGAGCATGGAGCCCAGCAGGCAACGCTGTGGCACAGCAAGCATGCCTGCTCACCCTCGCACTGCTGCATCTGCTCTTCCTGCTCTTCCTTCAGGTGCGTTCTGTACTCACTATAAACACACTCTTCCTTCAGGTGCGTTCTGTACTCATTATAAACACACTCTTCCTTCAGGTGCGTTCTGTACTCACTATAAACACACTCTTCCTTCAGGTGCGTTCTGTACTCACTATAAACACACTCTTCCTTCAGGTGCGTTCTGTACTCACTATAACCACACTCTTCCTTCAGGTGCGTTCTGTATTCACTATAACCACACTCTTCCTTCAGGTGCGTTCTGTACTCACTATAAGCACACCGGTTGCGTTCTGTACTCACTAGAAGCACACTCTTCCTTCAGGTGCTGCTGTTTGCTGCACGCTCAAGTGAACCACTTTCCACTAACATCCAATCACCATTCTCCGCTCCCCTCCCCTCCTCTCCATCCCCTCCGCGTGCCCAACAGCCCTTCACGGAGCGAGGCCTACAGGGAGCTCGGGCGCGGAGGTGGTGCAGTGCTCTTCTATGTGCTGATATATGATACAACCACATTGTACAAAACTCAACTACCGTTAACCCCTCCTCTCCCCTCCTCTCCCCTCCTCTCCTCTCCTCTCCACCCTCCCCAACAGCCCATTGCAAAGAGAGGCCTAAACGTGGTGGAGGCAGTGAGCTCGGGGGCAGAGGCAGTGCTTTCCTTTTTGGGTTATATGAACCACATTGTACACAACTCACCTCCTGGTTTCCCCTTTTCTCCCGGCCCCCACCAACAGCCCTTCACGGAGAGAGGCCTGCAGATGATGCAGGCAGTGAGCTCGGGGGTAGAAGTGGTGCTGTGTGCGTGTGCTCTCTCAAGTGACCAACTCTGGATGATCCAATCACCATTCTCCCTCCCCTTTCCTAACCTCCCCATCCTCTCCACATTCTTACCCTCCCCAAAACAGCCGTTCACGGAGCGAGGCCAGCAGGTGGTGGAGGCGGTGAGCTGGGGGGGCCAAGGTGGTGCTGTCCTGATCGCATATGAACCACTCTGAACGCAACTGAACCACCGATTTTCTCTCCTCTCCCCCCTCCCCAACAGCCCTTCTGGAGAGAGGCCTGCAGGTGGTGGAGGCAGTGAGCTCGGGAGTAAAGGTGGTGCTGCTTGCCTGCGCACTCCTGTGAATCACTTGCGAGTAACATTCACCCACCATTCTCCACTCCTCTCCACCCTCCCCAACAGCCATTCACGGAGCGAGGCCTACAGGTGGTGGAGGCGGTGAGCTCAGGCGCGGAGGTGGTGCTGTTTGCATGTGCGCTGGCCATGGCCATCGATTGGGACATGTCGTCCAGCTTCGCCGGCACTCTCGGGCTCGTCATGGCACTCGCTGTCGGCCTCGCCTTCATCGGCCAGCTCTTCAACCAGTCAGTGCTGCCCTGCTGTTCTTTATCTCCCCAGAAACTGTTCTTGACGTATGCTGGTATCCACGTGAGTGACACTGGGGCAGCAGATCAACCGCAGACTCATGCTCTCTTTGCCCTGGTTGGAAAGCTGATTCTCCTTAACTTCGTCAACGTGTCTCCTCTCACATAGCATTCTCCTCCCCTTTCTTATTCACCTCAACCCCAATGCTTCCCCCCTTCCACTTTCTATGATTCTCTTTGCAGCTGGGTGGCTCTAGGCCAACAAATCAACCGCATGCTCAACCCGCCTGACGACGATAGAAGCCCGTCGCACCGATCGGACGGGGACGATTTCTCGGATAACGATGACGATGACCTGGACGACGACGACGATGACGAGGATTTTGACGACGAGGACGACGGGAACGGTGACGAGGACGAGGATGATGATGACGACGATGATTACGATGATGATGAGGAGGATGATGACGAGGGGGATACAAGCATGGATGAAGCGGAAAGAATACGGCAGCAGCAACAACAGCAACAGCAGCAGTAGCGGCAGCGGAATCAACGATATTCTCCTTCCTCCTCCTCATGCGCCATCCCCTGTTCCCCTCCTTCAGCCACTAACATGGCAGCCATGTGCTGCCGTAACACTCCCTAACCACTGGTTGACTCCCCAAACTTTCTCCGATCTGGCCTCTGAACTAACAAACTGCTGGCTTTCCCTCTAAACCCTGCTGTACTATTAGTAAAGCTTGACCGTGTCTGCTTGCTGCAACCACTCGCTGCCTGCAAGCTGATACTTGTCCGACCATCTGTGGGTTGGTTGCTAATATCATGCTTATTTATCGGTTATGCTTGGAGTATTATAATACTGTCGTCGCCCAGATATAAGGCATAGTATGTGTCCTATCCAATACTGCTTCTAAAAGTGGTTGTTTATCTTATAAACGGGAGGAAAAAACCGAAGTCATCACAACCAGTCCCCTGGCGCTTGCGGTGAGCGAAGTCTGAGTTTCGTAGGGCGACAGGGTTACCGCTCGCAACTAAACTCCAAGCGTCCGCTGCACGTTTTGAGTGCTGAAGGGACTGGGTGTCATGCTGCCCAAAATTAGATTCGCGCCAGGTTGTTACAGACTTAGTTTGGAATAGCTAAACGTTTTGTAACAAAACTGTCAAAGCCCAAAACATCATCCTGCATGACACGCCTTATAGCACTTCAAAGTCGAGTCGCGCGTCTTTTTTCCTGTCCCGAAGGAAAATGCGAACGGTCGAAAATGGCGCACGCGAAGTGTTTCGAAATGTTGCCTAGTTGAAGCGGTACAGTGGAAGTTTCCATTGGGCAGTAATCCAGTAACAAAATCAACGTGTGTACTCGCACGCAGATTCGCCGACCTTGAAGAGTTCAGACTCCAATTCTCGCCAATGTTGCCAATGTGGCTTGAGAATAGATTTTTGTTGTTTTATTTATTTTAGGTCAAAATCGGTCCTTCCTGAGTCACGAATCAGCGGAAACAGTGCGCAGGTAGATGAACATCCCTAGAAAGCGCACAATCTAGTACTACGAACACTTCCTCGATATCTGAAAACCCCCACCCATTCCTTCTCGTTCGTCTGAACGAAACAGGAAATCTGAACGGGACAGGAGGAAATTCGTAGGCGAGGCCATGCAAACTTCCCGTACGCGAATGCTGCAGGCGAGGCCATGGGAAATCTGTAATCTGCACGCGAGGCCATGTGACACAAACTTCAAGTAGTACGCGAATGCTGTAGGCGAGGCCATGGGACACAAACTTCCCGTACGCGAATGCTGTAGGCGAAGCCACGGAAAATCTGTAATCTGTAGGCGAGGCCTTGGGAACGCGAGGTCTAGTAGGAGGGCCACTGGCGCTTTCCTTTCACGCCACGTTTTCTATTCCTTCTCTTCCCAGTCCGCCGGTTATTGGGAGCACCGAGAGCACCGGCGTCGCAGGCGTCAGTGACTTCCAACCGCCAAGATGCATCCCACCACGCTCGCTCGCCTCTGCGCCGTCGTCTTGGCGCTTCTCAGCTCCAGTTACGGGCCGATGCCGGCGATGCTGATCACGCACGCTCAGCCCCTGGCGGGGCCGCGGTGCGTGAACCGGTTTCCGGAGAAGCCGCTGTGCAAGTTCGTCGATGACCTCGCCGCGTCGCCGCTCACCTTCCTCGACGCGTCGGCCGGCGAGACGATCGAACTCGGCGCATATGACGTGTACCAGGCGAGTGCGATTGCTGTCAGTGGCTCCGCGTTGTGGTGCCTCTCCAAGGTATCACATTGAGTAGTAATGGCGCGTACGACGTGTACCCGGCGGGTCTCACGGGAATTTGACGTCGTACGACGTGTACCCGGCGAGTGCGTGTACATGAATTGGTGGGTGCCAGTGGAAGGTAACCCCCCTCGCCAAAATTGACTGTCTTGAATTTGTCCTGAAAGAGTCTTTTGAGATGAAGTCTCTCCCCCTGTCCCGAAAGTAACCTAAAGAGTATTTTGAGACAAAAACCTGTCCCAAAAGTGTCCTAGCAGTATCCTAAAGGTGTCTTATATGAGAGGGCCTCAGACTTGGTCCTCAAAGAGTCTTTTGGGCGATTTCAGGACAGATATCCAAGTCTGTCAATTTTGAGTGCCCGGGCATGTCCGACGGCCGTTTGACGCCTGCGGCGCTCACAGTTCAGCAAATGCCAGTCATTCAAGCAACAAAAATCGCGGCGTTTGTGACAACATGTTAACGGTGGCTCCGGTGTTTCAATAATGGTTATGCATTTTCGAAAACCCAAGCTCTCGCCGTCACCTCGCCCCCTTGCTCAAACGCTCCCCCTTACCCCTCCCTCCCCCCATTTTCCATCTGCAGAAGTTTCACCGCGACCTGCCCGACACCAATCCCCTCCTCCTGCATTCAGCCTCTCCCACCCCCCTTTCCCAACCCACCAGGGCCTGTTGTGCCTCCCCCCGGCCTGCAACGAGCAGAAGTTCCACCGCGACCTGCCCGACACCAAGTAGCCCTTTCAGGTCTTCCCCCTCCTCAACACCCCCCCCCCCCCCCCCCCCCCCCTCGCCCGCCCAATCTCTCAGAAGTTCCACCGCGACCTGCCCGCCACCAAGGTGTATGCGTTCGGCGTCTCCCGCAGCTCGGCGCGCTACCCGGGCCCCGTGCTCGTCGCCACACGCGGCACCACCACCAAGGTGAGCGCGGCAGCACCACCAAGGTGAGCGCGGCAGCACCACCAAGGTGAGCGCGGAAGCACCACCAAGGTGAGCTGCGCTGCCTGCGCGCTGGTTCTTTTCATCCGCAGTAGCTTCACGGTCGCTTTCGAGTTGACTCAAAACAACACCGCCATGCGTGGCGTTATCACCAGGCGAGCCGACCCCGCCAGCCGACAGTCAGCTGCCTGCAGTGGATTGCGTCACTCGCAACGGTTGCTATTGAGTCGACCAAGAATAATGTTTCCAGGCGCGGTTATACCAATGAGCTGACCCGGTCAGCCGCTGTCAGTCTCAGTCATCCGCAGTGGTTTGCACCAACCAAGACATTGCAGACTATAGTTGCTGTCTTTTATGCTGCTTTTCTGCACCTCGGCGGAAGAATCATTCTATTTGAGAGCTTCCAAAGAGTCTCCTCTGCATTTAATTATTTATATAACATGCTAGGCTTTTATGCAAGCGCTGATGGTTTTCTCGATCTGTTGATATACGGTGTTGTCGCTAGCCAGCTTAACGTTCCACTTACTACGGTAGGATGCAGCTACTTATCACCAATCACACAAACCCATTTATCTCAGCCTGTTCTCTTTACCGATTTCCCAGATTCACTCTAAGCTAAGCTTATTATATAACTCACTTGCTCAACATCATGTTCACGATGGCAGGTGAAGTTCTCGAATCACATCAGGGACAAGACGCACATGTTCACGGTCGACCCCACACTTGGGGCGCCCGAACTCACCAACGGCGGTGTGCCCATCTGTAAGTCAGAAATAACCACGGTATGGTTATAGCAACCCCTTTCTATCGTGAGGATCTGCTTTGCTGGTAGTAGTCTTCATTCCACGCTTTTGATGAAGTTCACAAACATTTTGATTGCGTCTCCAGCGTTCCCCTTCGGTCTGCCTCGTTCCCACCTCCCATTGACTTTGTTATCATCGCAGCCGTCCATAGGCATGGCGGGGAGACGCCTAGCAAATCCGACGGTCATCCTATGGCGTGGTACACGGCCAGTGGGGAGCACGGACCGGAGTTCGAATCCGGAGAGCAAACATATCCGAACATGCAGCGCGCGACGATGCTATGGTACCACGACCACACGATGGGAATGGGCGAGCTGAACATGGTCGCGGGAATGGCGGGGCTGTACATTATCCGCGACCCGCAGGGCGAGGAGATGCGGCTCAACAAGTGGCTGCCACGTGGCGAACGACAGTTGCACCTCGTGATTGCTGACAGGGTGTTCTTCCCGAACGGATCCATCTATTATCCGAACCGGGGCTTAGTGCCGAATGTGCACCCGAACTGGATACCCGGTTATATCGGCAATGCAAATCTTGTAAACAGCAAGGTGAGACAAAAATATGTTTTTTTTTTTTTTCGGGGGAGGGGAGGGGAGGGGAGGGGGGGGGGGGGGGATGTGGGTTCTTTCTTTCTTTTTTCACCAATGCATGCCTGTTGTTGATCAAATCGTTGTGGTATTGTGATGCATCTCCTCCCCCATTTCTGCTCTCCACCCCCATTTCTGCCTAATCACATGGTGTCATTTCCCCACTGTTTTCCCTCAGGTCTGGCCGTTCCTCAACGTGCGGCGGGCGATGCACCGGATTCGCATGGTGAATGCGGCCAACGCGCGCGTTTACAACCTCACCTTCCAGTGCGCTGGGCGTGGCGACCACAACTTCAATCCCCCTCTTGCTGGACCTGTGCTGCCCTTCTACCTGGTGCGAATAGGCAAGGTTCCTAGCTGCTTTCCATGTTCACGTCCTAACGGGTAATTACCCTACAGATGCACTTGCAACAATGATATCATTCAATGCCTTACCCTACAGATGCACTTGCAACAATGATATCATTCAATGCCACCCAAATGGTTCACCCTTCCTCCTGTCTCTAACTTCCTGAGACCCCTTATTCCCCTCTCCTCCCTACCCTTGCTCACCCCTCTTGCAGATTGGTTCTGACGGTGGTTATCTCGCCCGCCCGCTGCGCCACTCCTCCCTACTCGTCTTCCCGGGCGTGCGTCACGACCTTCTTCTCGACTTCAACGCTGGGCCCGCCTGGTGCCGCAATGTCATTGTTGTCAACAGCGCCCCCATTCCCTTCCCCAGGGGCCAGCCTGCTGACTGGTTCACGGGCGTGGTCATGCGATTCATTATCAATCAGCGCTCGCCCGTGAAGCCCCCTCCCCTGCCCAACACGCTCTCGGTGGGCAACTTTCTCTGCCTGCCGCCCAGATTGGCATGCCTGGCATGCATCATGCGTTCTTTGCCTTCCCTCCCCTTTTGAAACTCCTCCCTGCTTGCTGTACATCCCTTCAATAAACCTTTCCCAGGCAGAGAGGCAACACTCAAATACTCACTCACTCACTCACTCTCTCTCTCACTCACTCTTTCCCTTCTGTGCTCACCCATTCACTACTCCGCCCTCCCATGCAGCACATCCCCCCGGTGGACTTCTCCCAGGCAGTCAAGCAGCGTGTTCTCGCCATAGTGTTTGTGATTGACAAGGAGTTGCATGAGCCGAGTGCATACACCCCTTGTTTTAGTCGTACACCCCTTGTTTTTGTATCTCCTGGTGTTTAGTGCAAGTGCAGATGTTTGAATACTTTCGCTTGTGGTGTGCTTTTTGTCACTCCCTGCCTTTCAAATATCCAGGGCACTTCGGAGCTTTGGCACATCGTCAACCCGAGCTTCGAGGCACCCCATCCACCTACACCTCATACAGCACCGCCCCATCTCCCGCCGTCCGTTCAACTCCGGCGGGCTAATCAATGGCACCTGTTCGCTCGATCCCGCCTCCTCCAAGCCCAGCTGCTTCACTGGGCCGGCCAGGGCTGTGCCGCAGCAGGAGAGGGGATGGAAGGACACCACTGTTGCGTTCCCCGACAGCGTTCTCACCATCTTTGTGCCGTTCAAGGGTCAGGTGAGCTGTATACGCTGGTGCTAGGTAAGTTCCTGTTTGGTTAGGGTTGAAACAGATGAGGTGGTGTAGAGGGGGATGGGGAATAAGGAAGGACACTACTGTCTATTTTTTCCAGCGCCTTCAACTCGCCCCTTCACGTGACCACTCCTCAGTACACTCTCTTACCTCTCTTCACCAGTCCCATTCCTCTTCTCAACCGTGCTGGCAATGCCAATTCTCTGTTTTACTTGTCTACATGTGCAGAATGGCAAGCCATTCCCTTTTGATGCCACCGAGGGCCCGGGCTATGTGTGGCACTGCCATGCAGTGGAGCATGGGGACAACGCCATGATGAGGCCGCTCATTATGACGCAGGCCCCTAGATTCGTCTTGGACCAGGTTGATCCATCAGCCTTGGTACAGAAAAAAACGCTGACAATCAGTGATAACTAGGAAAAAAACGCTGAAAATTCAAAGTTGGTAAAAAAACAAATACACAGAGAACTCTGTGTATGGTCCGGTTTTTAAGTAGTACACAACCAGTGTAGCGTGCTTGGGTTGGGAGTGGCGGGCGAAGCAGGTGCGTGTTAGAATAGGGGAATGAATTTACTAGGAGAATGTCGAGATACAAATAGCAAGGGTTGTACTCTCTAGGGAGTACCTCACTATAGCCTAGCATAATCAACAACTATATCAAAATAATTTGACACACCTCCATACCATAGGATAAGTGAGGGGCATCAAGACGAGCAAGATAGACATGCGGTCACAAGACTAGTAAAGGAAAGAAACAAGGTAAGGCAAGCACCTTAGGGTGGTACGACTAGCCAGCTTCTAAGACAAACGTCCAGAAGGCCAGTTCAAAGGTTCACAAAAAAAAATATATATATATATATATATGTATATATATATAGCAAGACAAGCAGAGGAAATCATAGACAAGTCTACAGCAAACGAGGGTCTGTCTGAACAAGGCCAAGCTGTGAACAGAAGATGTGGTGGTCACCAGGCGGAAGGGCCTTGGTGAACATGTCTGCAGTGTTGGCCGCCGAGTCCACAAAGGCCAAGAGTGCCTGGCTGCGTCGTTTCAACTCTCGCAGCAGGAAGTACCGCAAGTCGACATGCTTCACTCTGCCCTCCAGTCTAGGCTCTCGACACAGGAGGATCATGGCCTTGTTGTCAGCAAACAAGGTCGGTGCAGAGCTAGGCCGCTCACCTAAGTCGGTGAGCAAGTAGGTCAACTAGCAAATCTCCCGAGCAGCCATGGCCCCAGCGTAGATCTCGGCCTCACAGCTGGAACCAGACACAGAAGAAGAACGAGTGGACCTCCACGAGACAGAACCAGAGCCAAGACTGAAGGTGTAACCCTGTGACGAACGCTGAGTCGCCTGGTCGTCGGCCCAAGAAGCGTCAGAGTGTCCTGTGAGTACCACTGAACCTCGTCCTCCAAACACGAGCCCCATGCCCGATGTACTGCACAAGTAACGCAGTACCCTCTTCGCAGCATCAAAGTGCACCTTTCGGTGTCTACCAGGTGCCACGTAGCGAGCCAGGAGGCTGAGAGGGTACGCGAGGTCAGGTCGTGTGCACGTCATCAGGTACATGAGGCAACCCACAAGCTCTGGGTACGGACTACTCGGCTCTACGGACTCGTCCGAAGGTGGGGCTGAGAGCGAGTGACCGGTAGACAGAGGAGTGGGCTGTGGCGAGGAGTACTGGAAGCCGAAGCGCTGAAGGACCTGGTGCACCATGTGTGACCGAGTCAGGGTAATGGTGCGCCGTGCTCTGTCCCGGGTGATCTGCAAGCCAAGATAGCTCCGCAGCTCACCCAGGTCAGTGCAGGTGTGTCTCTCCTGCAGTTCCGCCTTCACTAGGGCCAGCGCCTCTATGTCAGTAGTAGCAAAAACCAAGTCGTCGACGTACACGAGGATGTAGAACACTAAACCCTGGCAGAGTAGTGTCGGTGCGTAGAAATAGCGACGGGTCAGCAGTCGAAGGAGCAAACCCAAGAGCCGCAAGTGTCGTCCTCAGTGTATCGTGCCACTCGCGGGGCGCCTGACGCAGGCCGTATACTGGTCGCCGTAGGCTCCACTGGGTACCCTCAGGAAACGACCCAGTGAAGCCCTCTGGATGGCGCAGCCAGATGGCCTCGTGAAGGCTACCCTGCAAGAAAGCTGTCGAGAAGTCGAGGGAGTGCAGCTCGTAGTCACGCTGAGCTGCAACGTGTAGCAACACCCGAAGAGTGGTCATCTTCGGGGTGGGGGAGAAGGTCTGAAAGAAGTCGACCCCCTCACGCTGACTGAAGCCTCGAGCGACGTAATGTGCCTTGAAGGCAGGCAGAGAACCCAGCGGCCGCTTCACCCTGAAAATCCACATGCCACTGACGATGTTCGCCCCAGGTGGGGGAACCTCGTCAACGTAGGTACCTGTGGACTTCCAGGAAACCGTCTCTGCGTCCATGGCTGTCTGCCACTGAGAGGAGTACGCACCCGAGATCGCCTCTCTGTAAGAGCGCGGGGTGGGGATGTCAAGTGCATCCGGATCTCCCTCAGGGGCAAGCAGCATGGTAGCGAGATGAGGTGCAGCAGCCGCAAGGCACTCCAGCTCCTCCTGTCTGTCCTCAAGAACGTCACAGCCAAGGGCAACTTCATCCCCGACGGACGGAGGACAGGCATGTTCAGGGTCAGAAACGAGACTCGCAAGGTAGTCTAGGCGGTATGCAGCAGCAAAGTCAACTAGCTCAGCGACTAAGGCAGACGCAGCAGGAGACGAGAACGTAGGGTCCGTCACAACCGTAGCAAGAAAGCGAGTAAAAGTCAGACTGGACGCACGAGCAAGGTCAGACGGAGGGTCAGCAACGTCAGGAAGAGAAGACGCAGGAGGTGACGGCAGGATAACACGCTGTGGAACAGAGGAAGGACGGAGTGTCATATCGTGAGTGCCTGGGACAGCCGGGGGACGCTGACGACGAACACGAGGAACACGAGTACGGACAACGGCTCTAGGCTCGGGCTCAAGGTCAAAGCTAGACCCAGGCTCTCGACGCTCAGGGTTGGAAGCACGAGTCTCAGGCTCTCGACGCTCAGACAGGGACTGTGTCACCGCAGTGTAAGGAACAGGAGCAGGCAGTGGGGAGTGCAGTAGCAGCGGCGGCTGAGACTGGTCTTCCGGTGGAAACAGTAACGGAGGAGTAGTACCTGCCACAGGGAAGTAATTAGCACCTGGCGGAAGACTGAGAAGGTGGCGGAGGGCACCAGCAACTCCCGCAGCTCCACGTCCTCCAGCATCAGCAGCACCAGCAGCTCCACGTCCTCTAGCACCAGCAGCACCTCCAGTACCTCCAGCACCACCAGCGAGACTAGCATCTCCAGCACCTCCAGCACCTCCAGTACCAGCAGCACCAGCAGCTCCACGTCCTCCAGCACCAGCAGCACCTCCAATACCTCAAGCACTAGCAGCAGGACCAGCAGCTCCAGCACCTCCAGCACCAGCAGCTCCAGCAGCTCCACGTCCTCCAGCACCAGCAGCACCTCCAGTACCGCCTGCACCAGCAGCAGGACCAGCAGCTCCAGCACCTCCAACACCTCCAGCACCAGCAGCACCAGTAGCTCTACGTCATCCAGCACCAGCAGCACCTCCAGTACCTCCAGCACCAGCAGCAGGACCAGTAGCACCAGCACCTCCAGCACCGGCAGCACCAGCAGCTCCACGTCCTCCAGCACCAGCAGTACCTCCAGGACTAGCAGCTCCAGCACCTCCAGCACGAGCAGCTCCAGCTCCTCCAGCACCAGCAGCACCTGCAGTACCTCCAGTACCTCCAGAATTACTGGCTCCAGCACCTCCAGCACCAGCAGCTCCTCCAGCAGTATCTCCAGGACTAGCAGCTCCAGCACCTCCAGCACCAGCACTACCTCCAGGACTAGCAGCTCTAGCACCTCCAGCACCAGCAGTACCTCCAGGACTAGTTGCTCCAGCACCTCCAGCACCAGCAGCACGTCCAGGAGTACCTCCAACAACAGCAGGACCGAGCCCTCCACCACCAGGACGGCCACGCCGAACGATCCACGCACGGATCCACTCCGGCGAGGGCGCCTCAGGTGGACTAGACTGTCCAGCTCCACGTCCTCCAGCAGGGTCACCCACGGCTCCACCGCCACTAGGACTCGCAACACCCCCAGAGTCAGCACCTCCAGTCGAAGCACCCCTAGAACCCTCACCCTCGGTCTCAGCACCCCTAGAACCCGCACCCCCAGTGTCACCACCAACAGCAGCACCAGGGTCCACAGCAGCAGGCTGCTGAGGCGGCGAAGACGGCCGAGGCGGAAAACCAGGGGGGGTCTCCAAGCGAGGAGAGCGGGCAACCTCAGGCACAGTACCCCCAGGCT